AAAAAAAAAAAAAAAAAAAAAAAAAAAAAAAAAAATCCAAAGCAAAAAGCGTTAAAGGAAATAAACAGGAGCATTTAATCCTAATAAAAGGTGCAACTCCCCCAGGAGGCTGTAGTGGTGACAAATATGAACATTTGTGCACCTAACTGCATAGCCTGGAAATGTGTGAGGCCGAGACTGACAGAGATGCAAGAGAAAATGATCATCTGCAGTCACTGTGGGAGGCTTTAAGCTAAAAGTGAGCAGATCACCCAGAGATAAGGCCAAATAGACTGCGAGGAACCCAAAATTAGCCTCACAGTATGTGAGCTCTGTATCCATGCCTATAATAGTGCTAGAGGGAAATTATTAAAATATTAACGGATTGTTCTGGAGTTGGAAGACTGTACGTGTTCTTTTCTCTTTCTACTTTTCTGCATTTTTCCATAATGGACATTCACTTTTACGATGGAAAAGAAAAAAGTTCACGTCTAAAGAGAATGAGGGGCTACATCATAGCGTCATGTATACAACATTCCATAACATGTGCTGAACTGACTCATCTAGATGAGTCCACCAGCCGTGCACAGCTGTGGACAGGGAGAGGCAGGGCTCAGTGAGTGACTGGCCAAAGGCGAGCTTGGCTTCCTCACTCCACACCAGAGGAGCACATGAGGGCCCCTTTCAGAGCTGGGCCAAATTTTCCTCTCAGGCAGGCCAGGGAGGGGATTTATAGGCTCAGAGGGATCCAGACATCTGTGCTTGAGTCTACCGGCAGTGCTAACCTTCCTGGTGAGAAGCAGACAGAGCCCCGTGCAGTCGGGCTGTCCCTCCCCAACGTCCACAAATGCCGCCTTTGTGCTGAGGCCCAAGCCCCCAGCCCATATGGGCACAGGAAGCAAGAGAGAACAAATCCTGCAGTGTCTTGCTGCACTGTGGCTGCAAGGACCATTCACATGTGTGACTGGGGCTTTAACATTTTTGGAAGTGGCTGCCAGCCCAGAGCTCTCCTGATATCCTCATGGGCTAACCTGTGGTCTCCCGAGGAGCCAGCGGAAGGACTGCTAAGTGTTCCCGCATTGATTAAAGCACTGTGTTTGGGCTTAAATCATCTCTTCTATAATTAAAGGAATACAATCTGAGAGACATAAGTGAATATCCAAAGGGATCCATACATCTCTAAGGTATCAAAAGCCAGGGAAAAGGAATACTGCAACAGAGAACCAAGCTGCTCAATTACAGCCTGAGTCATTTTTGGAATAGAAAAGGTGTAAATAATACACACACAGGGGTAAAGAATGGATGGCTCCTGAGAGATTTTGGGCAGCCGATATACTCTTTGTTCTGTTTCTCTCTTATTGGAAAGGGAACCAAGACTTAAACAAAATGGGAGAGGATGTGAAGTGAGCCCAATGAGCACCCCTATGAGGCCAGCTCTTCCCCCTCATCCTTACTGCTCTCAGGTCACATCAAATTAGTATTCAGCTGGGTGCAGTGGCTCACGCCTGTAATCCCAGCACTTTGGGAGGTTGAGGTAGCAGATCACCTAAGGTCACCACTTTGAGACCAGCCTGGCCAACATGGTGAAACCCCACCTCTACTAAAAATACAAAAATTAGGTATCATGGTGGGCACCTGTAATCCCAGCTACTTGGGAGGCTGAGGCAGGAGAATTGCTTGAACTCAGGAGGCAAAGGTTGCAGTGAAGTGAGATCATGCCACTGCACTGCAGCCTGGGTGACAGGGCAAGACTCCGTCTCAAAAATAAAATAAAATAAAAAATAAATTAGCACCCTCTCTCATTCTAGCTGGTGAGGGAAACTATTATTGACATGCTAGGACTGGAAATAACGTCAGAGAAGTTGCACTGTGGGCATCAAGGTGAGTTACAGGAAGACATGTGGGGACAAGCTGGCATTCTCCATGCTTTGCAGATCATTCTGCAAACATGGCAGCTAGCTTTGCATATAACCTCAGGGGCATATTTCCATTCACTGACTCCGCCGCAAGGACACACTCAAACATAAGCATATTGCTCAATTCTCTCCATATCTATGTATATTACCATTATGAATAACTCTTGTTTCTGCTGAGTTGTTTCTGGCCAATATATAAAGCTTAGAGTAAGCTATTTATCATGATATTTGAAAAAATTAAATTAAAAATTTATTTTGTACTTTGAGAGGCTGAGGCAGGTGGATCACTTTAGGTTAGGAGTTTGAGACCAGCCTGACCAACATGGAGAAACCCCATCTCTACTAAAAATTCAAAAAAATTAGCCAAGTGTGGTGGCAGGTGCCTATAATCCCAGTTACTTGGGAGGCTGAGGCAGGAGAATTGCTTGAACCCGGGAGGCGGAGGTTACAGCGAGCTGAGATCATGCCACTGCACTCCAGCCCGGGCAACAAGAACAAAACTCAGTTTCAAAAAACAAAAATTATTTTGCCAAAAAGAATCTTTGAGGTTTTAAAAACCAATTTCTACATGTCAGATCCTCTCTTGGGTCTGGCTTTCTCATCCTTGCTTGGCCTCAGTCTGCTGGATTTCAGACATGGCTTGATTTCTTTCTGTTCCAGTTCTCTAGGTCAATGCAAGTGTCCAAGGTGAGCAAATGTTTCCTGCATTGTTATCTGTGAAGGATCCCCAGAAACAGAAGAAAAGGAATTTTGCCTGGGAAGCCAAAAGGAAGATTTTGAAGATATGGTAATGGATATTAAAGCAGCCAGGGCTGGGCTATAGCAGAAGGCACAGACTGTGCTCTTTGTAAGCCTGGGAGCACAAACACAAAAAGCCTACGGACCAGGCAAGGCAATGACAGAGAGTAAAGGGCCAGGTGTTAGAAGGGCAATTGGAAGAGGTGGGAATATTTGTAGGTGACAGTTGGCTGGCTGCTTAGGTCTAGCTCATTACTGCCACATGGGATCACAGCATTGCAGCAAACCTACCAAAAGGCAATTCTATAATATCTGGAACGTAGCAATATGAGGGCAGAAAGAAGAGCCTGATGCATGATGAGGGCTCACTCAACAGTTATTAAATGAATGAGGACCTTCCCAGGCAGAGGGTGGACTGTCCTGTGATCCATAATGGGAAGAGACGGCTGGTAATGTAGAGGTCTTACAATCAAGGGAGGAAATAATTGCAGAGTGAACTTGAGGCACAGCCATTGAAATGGAGACGAAAGGGTGAAATGTAGTAGACAGGCTAAGGAATTTTCAAAAAGCAGTACTCAGTGAAAGACCAGATGTGCAGGACTAGGGCGGTGATGAATCTTCCAGGGGATGCCTGCAATGAACTTGTCTAGAGGGCTGAAGGACTGGTCACAAGGGAGAGAAGGTAAACACATTCTTCCATTCTTCTTCACTAGTTTCAAAGCCCTTCATGCTACTCTCCCAGACAACCTTATTTTCTCTTTCCTCTGTTCTCCCACAAAAGGGATCAGGGGATTAACCAGGGATCCAGAGGCCCAAGCACTGAGAGAAACAGACGCAAATTAGGTGATGAGGTATTCATTCAGGGGAAACTGCAACAGAGTTAACAAAGATCAGGGCAGGGCAGGGGAAAATCACTGGAGAGGAAGGGCATCTACGGAAAAGTAGCAAGAACCACTTGGGCCATGTGAAGTCATGACATATGGGCCGTATGGTAGGGAGGCAAGGACAGAAAGGGCTGAGGGAGCACCCCAAATAGTTCTCAAGTCATGGATTTTCACAGCATGAGGCAAAACTCGGGTTCTGGTCCCCAGTTTTCTTAAAGACTCGGAAAGCATAGATAAAAAATATTGCCAAGCAAAAGTATTCAGGACAAATACATGGCAGACTCAAGACTGCTGCTCAGCTAAACCAGGTGAGTCTTTCAATGGCATACTTTTTGTGGGCTTCAGTCTAAGATAAAATTTGTATAACGATCAAATTGGGTCCAAGGCCTTGGATAAATCTCAGTGTTCACTTTAAAAGATACACTTCATCAACAGTTTAAGAACAACTACAACTACTTGTTAACTAAAAAACTATTATAGTAGCTAATATTTACTACTTAGTTAACTAATTCAAAGATTAATGATTGCTAACTAAGGGCCAAAGCATTATGCTAGGCCCTTTAAGTGCACTGTCTTGTAAATCTTTACAATGATTCCATGAAGGTTTGGTGGCATCACGGCAAATTTACCCATAAGGAATAATAAAAGCAAGATCTATCTATAGGACTAAGTATGGAAAAAATTTTAAAAATAAAAAAGTAAAAGCAAGACCTAGAGATGTTAAGTCACCTGCCCAAGGTGAGCCAAGGTTAGAACCAAGGTACTTCTACTGCGAGGTATGTAGGTCCTCGTTCTAAGCCTAGGATCAGCAAACATTTTATGTAAAGGGCCAGATGGTAAATATTTTTGGCTTTGTGGGCAACATGGTCTCTGTCACAACTACTCAATTATGCCATAGTAAAAAGCAGCTATAGACAATAAACAGATGGGCATGGCCATGTTCCAACCAAACTTTATTTATGGATACTGAAATTTGAATTTCATGTAGATTTCACGTGTCATGGAACAGCACCATTCTTTCAATTTTCCCCCAAGAATTTGAAAAAGTAAAAATCAGGCTTAGCTTGCAAGCCATAAAAAAACAGGTGGTGAACTGGAGTTTCTCCACAAAATGCAGTTTGCTGACCCTGGTCAAAGCCACTAGGCTCTGTTGCCTGCCAGCTAACATCCTGTGCTGCTTTGAGCAGGAGGCCCATAGATATTTTAGGAAAAAATCCCATGAGAGTACATCTGGATGGGGCACATAACTGTGAAATACAATTGTGAGGAAAGGCCCAACTACAATAGCTCTGGCTTTGTATCGCCTTTGACTGCAACTTAAAAACACCTTTCTTCCTCCAGGACCCCTCACTTGAGCTCTTCTATGGCAATAAGCACTGATTCAGGTCACTCTGAAACCAGAGGAAATTCTGGGTAGTAGGGGGATGTTCCCTCCCGTACTCCATGATTTTCTGCGACCATAGGCCCTGTGTGCCCTTCTTACCTGCAGGGTTTGACCAAAGCGCTTTAACGGTGTGGCCTTCACAGGCGGGATGAGGTTTGCTAGTGACGTGACTCTTGAAAGGGGTTTGACCCGTTTATTACTAGGCTCCTATAGGGTTAAAAAAAAAAAAAAAAAAGGTAAAATATCAAGGTCAATTGCAAAGACAACATAACTCCACCATAAAACTGTGTTCCACTCTATGAGGTGCTGGCTGTACACTGATCTATGGAGTATAAACCGTATCACATCTCACTCTGGCTGTACGGAGATGGCCTGGCTTAGGAGGCAGGGAAGGAGAAATGGCAGGCAGGGGATGTCGACAGAGGCAGCATCTGGTAGGACAGAAAAGGGGAAGGGATCTTCTCCTTATCCCTCACCCCCAGTTTCTGCCAGCTTTAAATTCAGAAGCTTCCACTTAGTAGAACTAGTCTCTCCATCCCTTTTGTAGAGAAAAGCAGCCTCTGATTTCTCACCCAATGACCTTGTCTTTTGTGGCTCTGGTTTCATCTTTTTAAAAGCCTTTTCCCCACCTTGCCCAAAGCCACTCTTATGCAATGGCTTCCCTAAAGCGTCAAGATTGTTTTCTTAGTTCACTAAATTAAAAATATTTTTTTTAAAAAAATAAGTTCTATTATTGGGCTCTTAAGAAAGCATCTTTGTATTTGCAGTATGTTTGAAACACACATATTAATATTTATAAATTATAATCAGACAGCAAAAGAAAATATATAGAGAAAAAGCCCTACATGGACATCAGTTTCTATACTATATAGCCACAAGTTTTAAAAATAATCTCCATATAAACCATTATTTGCAAATCTGCAAGTTACTTCAAACCAGGCTGATAGATGGGAGGGAGACTACCCATTCCAAGGACTTTGCAGACAAGAATTACATAAACAAAAACACAGGCTGGCTGGGTGGGGTGGCTCATGCCTGTAATCCCAGCACATGGGGAGGCCGAGGTGGGTGGATCATGAGGTCAGGAGTTCAAGACCAGCCTAGCCAGGATGGTGAAGCCCCATCTCTACTAAAAACACAAAAATTAGCCAGGCGTTGTGGCAGTAGCCTGTAATCCCAGCTCCTCAGGAGGCTGAGGCAGAGAATTGCTTGAACTCAGGAGACGGAGGCTGCAGTGAGCCAAGATCGTGCCATGCACTCCAGCCTAGGTGACAGAGCGAGACTCCATCGCAACAAAACAAAACAAAACAAAAAACAGACTATGGGAAAGAGAATGATGACAGACAAAACATTTTACAAAGACAAAGAGAACAGTTACCCTTGTCCTTCTAAGCTCCATCTGACCTGTAGTAGATGCCGGACAGCACATGAAGACACCAAATTTTGACAGACAAAGCCAAAGTAGCCAATTGCGATGGCAAACCTCAATCATTTCCAGAGGGAGCCTCTAGGTATTCATCTTTCCTTTTCAGCCATTGCTTTCAAAGTTTCAAGGGTTAAGCCTGAACTTCAGATTCTCCAGAACATCTCTGCATCCCTGTTCTGAACATAGTAGATGCTTGAAAAAATCTTTCATGAATTTGGAATCCTGCTGAGAAACTCTCATGTCATTTTATGCCCTTGCCAGTCTCAGAAATCAAAAGCCTTCTTTGAAATAGACTGTCTCCAAGCTTTCCGGCATTTCCATATAAAAATTTAAAAACTAAAAAAAAAAAAGAAAGAAAAGAAAAGAAAAATCAATACAATCCCACAATGTGGCCAGGAATGATTTCACGATTTCTCAAACCAAATATTTTTCCAAGACAGAGAATGCAACCAGCCTGCTGGGTACCTCTCCGGCTTCTTAGCGTGCTAAGCTGAACAGATAGCAGAAAACTCTCAGAACACTAGGAAGGCTCAGTTCCAAAATGCAGAGGATGAATCTCCCAAGATGAGAGCCATTCCATGAAAATGATTTAACTGCGGAAGGGAAAGATCTGACAGCTCTTCTGCTTCAGGTGACAATGCCCTTCAGGATGCTCCCTGTCCAGTGCCAGGCTCTTCAGCATTTGTGCCCAGAGGAGGGTTGAAAACATTTTTTTACGTCAGAGCTGCACCGTTGGCATATGGAATACACGCACACATACGTACGAGTGCACGCACACGCGCGCGCACACACACACACACACCCCGCCTCTTAAGCATCCCCTGAATTTGTCTCAATGGCTCCTGCTTTGGGCTGAAAATGCCAGACTGGTGGCACAAACTGCATTATAGCAAGTGAGGCAACAAGGATTCCCTGAGGAAGCAGGACCTGGTCTCAAAGAATCCTGCTCACTGACTCTGAGTCTTTCTCTTTCACTCTTTTTTTTTTTTATGGTTAAAGCTGATGGGTCACAGATTTTTGTAATCAGAATAGGGGGGTTGAAAGGCAAATGCCAACTGGGTTCTCTTGTTTTAAAAAGGGGCCAGAGAGCACTGCACACTTGGCAGGATGGGGGATGATCTAGCCGTGTTCCACTTGCTGTGTCATCTTTTCTAAGTTTCTGCTGACTTTGCTGTCCATTTTACATGACCCAGTCGGACAGGCATTTTCTGCACAGCTACAAGAAGTATGTACAACACAAATGCCAGCCTCTCTGCAGGTTGAGTGTAGTGCTGATATGTGAGATTGTAATTAAAACTGATTTCCTAAGTCATTGCCGATTTGGATGTAAACATCAGGCTGCTCTCTGGCAATCTGACATTCCCAAGTAATGAAGAATTGAACCAGAAGCCGTTGCTGTGTGATTTAGTGCTATGATCCAGCAATGTAAGCAGGTGCAATTTCAAAACCAGAACACTTACAGGTTATTGGATCTATGAGGGAGGCTTTATGCCTAACCCACATGAGTAAAGTATGAATTATGGTGTTCTCCTTGAGGGTTTCTGAGAGAATAGGAGATTTAAAAAATTCCTGGCCTCATTTGATTTTTCTTTTCCGTTTACTCAGTATGTCTCCAGCTACATTTTACTGCTGTCTAAAGAGAGCCCTCAGGGAGAATGTTTCCAGATTCTTGTTAAATAGCTCTACTGAAAACTAGCAAATGCAGATGCTTTCAGGCTTTACAGAGAGATAACAGAACACAACCTGCAGAGACGCTTCCTAGTCCAGCAACTCAAGCTGCCAGACCAAGCTGGGCAAGGTCAATGCTAAACCCAGGAATAAAGTGTCTTGTTTCAAGTGCAGACACCACCCTTCGCCACTTGATTTTAAAACAGGGCACTTTGGGAAGCCGAGGCAGACAGATTGCCTAAGCTTAGGAATTCGAGACCAACCTGGGCAACATGGTGAAACCCCATCTCTACTAAAATACAGAAAATTAGCCAGGCATGGCAGCATGTGCCTGTAGTCCCAGCTACTCCAGAGGCAGGAGAATTGCTTCAACTGAGGAGGCAGAGGTTACAGTGAGCCTGGGCGATGAAGGGAGACTCTATCTCAAAAAAA